GGTTGCAGGGTTCCCCCCCCTTGCAATGGGCTGCCCTTGGGGGGCCAAAGCATTCACTGAATGAGTAACGGAGGCCCCCTCTGGGCTCGGCCTGAGATTTGGGGCAAAAAACTAGCTTAATGGGGCCAGGATAGGTCCCCAAGTCCGGCAGCCAGGAGCTGGGTGGGCTCGGGGGGGGACCCCGGGGGGGGTCAGGCCATGCTGCTGGTGGAGCAGGGGGTGCTCTGGGTGCTGCTGCCGATGCTGTGGTGGGTGCTGCTGCTCTCGGAGGCCGGCGCCGTGCTGGAAACCGGCTGCAGTTTGGACATGGGACCTGGTTCACACCGCAGGGCCCGGGGGGAGACACGTCGGGGGGGAAACCAGATTTAGGGTGGGCCCTGGTGGCCATGGCTTGTCCCCACGGGACCCCCCAGCCCCCACGTGTGACCCCTCCCGGATTGGTCCCTGAGCCCCAAGGGTGGAGATGGGCATAGGGGATCTTGATGGCACTGGGGGCAGGGAGGACCCTGGGGAGCAGGGACATTGCCCCGTGGCACTGCCAGGGGGGCTTTATGGATGATGCAGCCCGGTCCCTTGCTCACCCACGGACCTCGGCCAGGTGGCTCTGGGGCAAGGGGGATGTGGGCAACTCGGGGATATGCAGTTGCCCCCACTCCCCATCCCACTGTAGGGGTCCTGGGGGCGGTGGGATACTCACGGGTGTGGGAGTAGATGTACCAGAGCCCGGCAGTGAGCAGCGCCCGGCGGAAGGTGTTCCCCGGACCACCAGCCAGACCCAGCCCCCGGCCTGCGGGGGGACAGGCTGTCAGCACCCCGGGGACACGGTGTTCCCACTGCCACCCCCACCCCAGCCCCACACTCACCGTTAGGTGGCCGCCAGCCGTCCTTCACTGTCACCTCCAGGACCTTCTCAAAGATGGTGTTGTTCTGCAGAGGGGAAGGTTGGGGTGAGAGCAGGGAGCCCCGTCCCACCCCGTCCCCTCCTGCACCCGTGGCAGGGGACAGGGCTGGGATCCCCCGGGTTCTTTGGGGACCAGGGATGATAGAGCCCAGTTGGGGGACAAACTCGCCAGGCTGCCACCAGCGAGGAGGTGGGGGCATCGTGGGGTGGGTAGGGGGGTTACTAAACTGACCTGCAAGCCAGTCCTGCA